CCTGAAACTTGCAAATGGTGAATTTTCCTTACCACCGGTCATCACATTGAAGTCTGTAGGAGAATTCATGGTAGGAAAAATTAAGCACATGATACAGTAAAAGCCCTGTCATCCGTCATTTTACTAACCAGCATTTCTATTATCTGGAATTTCTGGCTGGATGGATGGACATGGGTGTGGGGGGGAGCTCAGACGTGGCATCCGCCACTGCCACCCACTGCCCTGCACTATCACTGCTCCATGTGTGGCCACTGCCACCCCTCCCACCCCCTGCTCTGCATGTGGCCGCCCCCCCGCACTCTGCATCCAGCCAGAAACCCCTGTGCCTCAGGTAACTGGCATTTTTAGGTTACTGGTATTCCCCATTCCCTACTTATGCAGCATAACAGGGCTTTACGTGTGTATATGTATAAGCATTTTTATACATAACAAGATTAGTGCCTGATTCATGTTGTGATGATAAAATACAAAATATCTTCACTTTACAAGAGATTTATAAAATTCTCTCTCTACTCCCCTGGCACTTCTATATGTGTAAATATGTGCCTATATATATAGTATCCCAGCAGTTTTTGGGATAAAGAACCATTGCACTTGTGCTCATGCTATCACTTTAATTTGGTTTTGGCTTCCAAATCACGTGTATTTGTATAATATCGATTAGAAATGTCACCAGAATTTGTTCTTTGCATGAACAGCAACAACAACACAAAAAAATTGAACACAACTGCTTGTTTTTGGTTAGGAAATAATAAGAATGTGACAAAAAAATGGCTTGTATTTAAAAATGATTCATAGTATGCACTCAAATCAATTTTATTTCCATTGTATAGAGAGAATACAGGTGAATATGGTGTGGGGGTGGCTATAGCTTGAAGCACTTATCAGCTAAACAACATAAAAGTCAATGAAGCATTTAAAAATTTGCAGTGACTTTAATAATTTTAAATTCAGCATTTTTTCAGAGCTTTGCAGTGGTACCCACATCTTTGGAAGCCATTGTGTCTGTTTCAGTTCAGGAATCAACTTGAAACTGCTTGTCCCTTATTTTCAGTGGCACTGAGAACCCACAGTTCCCATATCCTTCATTGAGAATTAGGGCTACAGCTCAGCTAAAAATCAAGGCCAGAGCATCTTATATTGTGGATTCGAGCAATAAGACTCACAGAATCTGATTATTATAAACATCTTGGCCATGGCTTTCTCAGTTACCTGAAGAACTGTGTGCCAATGTTAATTCAATGTCTCCAAAATTATTATATCCAGTTTTGGGTTCTCTCTTCTACTTGCTCCTTACCTTCACCCTCATTTTGTACTTTGTAGGTTAGTTGAAAAACTCCTTTTCACTGGTTTTCACTGGCTGTGTGCATTGAAAAATGCAGCCTGAGGTATGCAGGTGCAGCTCTTAACAGGCCTATTTTGTGCTGTACTTGGCACAGGTACTGAGGAATGGAAGTAAAAAGAAAGCTACCCTAGTTTTGCACCTCTTCAGTTTAGATGCTCTGCTGGATTTCAGTTTAATTTGTAGGGTGACCGTGATCACACTTAGGCTCAACTGCCTGAAAAATAGTTTAGGATAAGGCCTGAAAGAATCACTTCAGAAGCCTTATAGTCGGGGAGCTGCGTCAATTTACCCCTGCACCCCTTCATCCAGTTTCCTTTGCTGGTAGATTCATTGGGTGGAAATGGTGTAGAGCCACTGAACTGGTGTTGGTCTACGAAGATATCCCTTTGTGCTGTAGTATCCCATGTAACTTGATGCACCTGCTTTACAGCTGTAAAGTTCATCCTGTTGGAATAGCATAAGACTGCTGTATGGTAACAAGCAGTTGGGTCAAATAACATCAGTGAGAATGTTATCTGCCCCTGCCAGTGCTGCATTTGATCTCCACAGAATGCAAACCAATATACAATTACATTCTCTTACCCATCCACTGAATGTCCCAGCCCTGGAAAATACAGTAATTGCTGTTTCTACCTAGTGTTTGATCAGTTGACATCATTTATGGGCTTACCCACAGACTCTCAAAAAATGGAGGATGTCTACTAAGCATTTGGAAATTATGTCTTTTCTGTTTGATTTTAGCAGTTCATTCATTACACGTACAGTCTCTACATTTCTAAAAAAGAAAAATAATTAAAAATGAGTCCTTGAAACCCAATGTAGTTTTGATCCCATCAGTATAATGAATCAAGTGGAGGATTATAACAAATGGGGGGAATTTGCTTATTTGTCTTTCTGTCTAGGGATTTTTTGCATACCACAGTATTTAGCTTCTGAATTTAGTTTCATTCAGCTTGAAATACATTTCCAGTGTTTTAGAATGTCTTGGCTCTTCCCACCATTTCAGGTGCTTAGATGAATGTAGAGAAGAAGTTTTGTTTTGTTTCTATTTATGATGTCGTCATTTTTTCCCTAGAGCATTCTCAGTGACAGGACATGGATAAATCCTTTAAGTCTTGAATAGGGACTACAAATACAACCAGGATGACATCCCCTATAATGTTAAAATAACACAGGATGCATCTACACATGCACCCCACTGCACAGGTGGGACTGCACAGGCGCACGGGTCTTTTCCAACCCTCCTGTACTGTAGGTCATTGGTACTGCGCAGTAGGGGTGGCATCACGGATAGCGCCTGCCAACACTACATCACCATAGCTCGTCGCTATGGTGACATAGCATCTTATGTAAACAAGCCCACTGAAAATGAGTGGTGATTTGAAAAACTATATGAATTGCAATACAAAATAAGCATCGCCACTGTAGGGAGTAGTATATCAAAACAGACACTCCAGGCAATCTTTCGGGGTGATTATCACATCATTTGTTTTGTGTATGACACAAGACCAAAATGGTGACACAGTTTTATCATCAGAAAAGTGTAATAGTCTTTTTATTATCTGCTTGGTATAATGAAACAGAAATTGAATGATAAAGATGTATGCATAGGCCAGTGCCTTACCTGATTTATTATTGACATGGCTTGCCTGATTATTATTGACATGGCTTTATATCAACAGATGGGGGCTGCGGGACTTTATTTCTGTCCAAAAATATGTACCGTCACCATTTAAATGGTTAAGCATTTTACATTTAAAACACACAGGCAGGTTGTTTTCAAAGTCTATGCTGTGCCAGGGCAACCAACAAAACACTGGAATCCCAGGCTTAAAAAAAAAGAGTGGGTTTTGCTGCGCAGCTAATAGATGGTGTGTGGTAGCAGAGGAATGTGTCACAGTAATGCAGAAAGCTGTAATGATGTCAACTTGTTATTTACTTTCCAAATCTGAATGACTGAGCAAGGCGAAAGGAGAATCAATCAACCACAATGTGACCCTACAGGCGGAAAAAACACGGCACTCTCACCAGTAAGAGGTTGGGGGAAGGGAAGCACATGTAACCAGGGCAATGTTGCATCATTTACTTGCATTGGTTTTTGTATTGCTCCCTTCTTTCCTCGATTGAATGTAATATCTCAGTATCAAGCTGTACAAATCCAGGGAAAAATAAGGAAAGAAGGGCATGTTCAAGGCAAAAGAACAACAACATTTTGTCTGGGTGCTGAATTTCAGCTGATATGTAATAAAATCCATTCTGCTGATTCACAATTATGGAGACTGTGTAAGTCCATGTTTTAATGTGCTCTAATAATGGGATAGAAACATTATTTTTAACATCACTCGTGTTGTATAATACAGTATATAAGAATTTATTTTTTGCTTGTGTGCCTTTTTTTTTTTTTTGACTGGGGAAGCTCCCAGTGATTTTAAAGCCTAAAAAACACCCATTGTCTTGTGATGTGATTCTGTTATGTTTCAAATTACTGAGAATTAGGCTCTTGCTTGCCTGGCTCAATTTATAGAGGAAGGCACATAATTAAAACGGGAATAAGCAGGGAAATAGAAAATGGTTCTGGAGATTTTGTCCAACTGGGTCCACACATGACTGTTTTGGTGTACAGTGACTCTACATTATTACCATTATGTGTTCTTAGCATTGCAGACATGTACATTTAGATCTATGACAAGTAGACTTTTCACAGAGTCATTTTTATAAATACGTTTTGAGGACGCAGAAAAGATTTCCAGCAGCCTGAAACTTGCATGATGATACTGCTACTAATAAAGCCATTTTCATTAGCTTTTGCACCATCACCAGACCTTAAGGAGATATATTATTTATACCCCTCCATGTACACACAACCTCTTACAAACTATGTGCATATGGAGAAAGAGAGAGTTATATATATATATATATATATATATATATATATATATAATATACACACATATATACATACAGACAGATATAGATCTATATAGATACATTCTATTGTGAGTCCACAGGCTTAATCTTTCATTTTTCTACTACATGGAGGGGAAAGGGGTTTCTTTTTATTTTGTTTTGATTTGTTTTAGACCAGAATTCAATATAACATTTAAAATAAGCCTTACAAGTGAATTGCAATGAGTTCCTTATGGTAATGTGGGGGCTGGGGGGGAACACATTATTATTGTTGAGAGTGTTTCTGGTGGCTGAAGTTTTTTGGGGTGTGGAAGGCTGATTTTGGAGGAGGGAGAGTTCTTAAAAGAGGTGGCCTTTTATATTTTTTCTTTCATTTTTTTCTCCCCTCCCCCCCACCTTTTTTTTTTCTTCCCCTAGTTCAGGTCAATGTGGTTGATTTTTTTTTTCCCCCTAGGAGGTCACTGACTGTCTCAGTGAGGATCTCTGTGTGTGTGTCTCAACAGTGCTGCTGCTTCTGCCTGTGCAAGCCTGGCACTCTCACATTCAACACCAAACACACTAACTCTGCTAATGAAGTAGTGAGCAACAGCAGCAGCACCTCCTGACCGCCATTCCGCACCAAAAAACTTTCCATTTTCCTCTTCCCACTCTCTGGGACTTCCTTTTGATTTTTTTTTTTTTTTTTTTTTTTTCTGTGGGGGGGGGGGGGGGGGGAGGGGGGTGGGGGG